CCCCTCCCCCCATTTTCTGCTTTTTTGATGTGTTCAATCAGCTCATGCTGGTGGTGTCTTATAGCTGCCTGACATGTCACAAGGTGAGCAGTGACTGGAAATGATACTTCAAACACTTTACTTTCTCTGTTGAGGTGGTGATGTCCCCAAGCACCCTGTAACTCCCTGGGTTGTTAGGATACTTTGTGATCACAAGATCCATAGGGCTGCCACTGGAACAAGATCCATAGGCTGATTCACAGATCTTAGTGGTGATTCACAGATCTTAGTGGCTTAAACTTTTTTTAATTGAAGAAACAGTCTTCAGAAATTACAGTTCAAGCCTAACAGCATGGGTATGGTCTTATGTCATCAATGTCTGAATTTTGTTTACGTTGATTATATGTTGTTCTTCTGTACTGATTCTGAAGTACTTCCACAAAATGTTTCTTTTTTTTCTCAGGCTTTGAAGTGCCAAGGAAAGGCAGTATACTGAAGTCCCACTGAAAGGTTTTGTGAAAATACCCATATTTGTATGTGGTTTTTCCTCTAACTTTATGTGGTTTTTCCTCTAAACTGAAATAGTAATGCCAGGAAGGTGCCTTAAGTAGATGCAAAAATGGCTGGGTTGGGGAGTGGGCAGTGTTGAAAAGTACTCCTTAAAGGAAACCAAAGTCAGGCCTTTTGCTGGTGTGACGAGTCTACACCAGGGGTGTAGTGGTGTACTTGTCCCAAGAAGGTCCTAAGAGTGCCATGTCAGTGACAAAGTCTTCCACTTAACTTTCTTCTTGGAATCATTATTTTTAATAGTTTTGAAGCTGACATTCTTTTTATGTTGAATTTAAAGGGATTTGGTGTCAAATTTGAAATAAAGACTCCTTTTTAGTCTTAACTTAGGGTATCTGATGTCCTATCAGTATTCCCCAAAACTTTTTGTGCAGGATTATGAGTAGTATTCAGATATTGGCATTCAGTGTAATAAAGGCCTTGGCAGCATAAACTGTCAGATGCTGGATTTATCAGCATAAACTGTCAGATGCTGGATTTATCAGACAAAACCACAGGATTGTCCAGTCGTCTTAATTATGGAATGAAAATAGTTTAAATATAGGTAATATATTTTCAACTTCATAGGCATGAACTTCCAGCCTGATCTACAGGCCTGTATTAGCCTTAAGGAAGACATGGTCTCTCTGCATATATTCAGATTTAGACACGTCCAAATGGAACCGTTACAGAAATAATGAGGAAGGGTTACCTAATACAAAAGAGAAAATAAGGTAGTCATTTATTTCCATAATAAATAGGAGTTCAGGAGTCCCAGTCCCAGTCAGGTCTCAGTTCGTTATTAGAAGAAGCTCCACAAACACAGAGCAAGGAGCAATTTTACCCCAAAAAAGTGTTCATAGCTCAGAGTGTATCTGGAAAATGCAAGTCCAGGGAAATGATTTAATAGGAGTTTTCTCTTTCTTATTAACACTTTTTGTAAAGATAGTCTGCCTAGAAGTACTAGTTTGGCACAAATTGGAGAAGGTAGAATGAGCTGTCTCTGCTGCTGCCCTTGCCTGCAGGAGGAAGAGGAGGAGGAGAGAATGGTGCTGATACAGCTACAAGAGGAAGATTTTCTATCGTCTGTAGCCTGTGTCATTACAGGCTATTTGTGAGCAGCTCCAGGCTATTCTGGGAAAAAGTTTTGTTTTTTTTTTTTGGTGTGGGTTTTTTTTTTTTTTGTGTTTTTTTTTTTTTTTTTTCCAGTAGTGCAACGTAGGAAAGATCTGTTTAGAATTAATATTAGAAATGTGTTTCTAACCCTGTATGTCATTTTCTATCTTCCAAGAATTGCTAGTGTTAGTTGTGAGGTTAGTTCTTGCAGAGTCGCCTTTACATACTCCTGACCTGAGGTAAACTCAGTCATGGAATTAACATATAAATACTGATGTAGTTGAGTCCCAATGGCTGTGAATGTAGCCGCTATGGGGGGAGGAACCAGTGGTGTAACTGGATCTGCAGAGCTCTGAGGCTGCTGCAGTCCTTGGCAGAACTTCAGGAAAGGTCCATCATTCCTGTGGATGAGGGTGAAACACGACGTTGTAGTGAAGTATGCTGATGTTCAGCGCCCTGTCCTCAGGTCCCATGCAGCTCAGCAGCTGCTTTGGGTTTTGCTTGGAAATTATTCCTAGTTGCAATTGTTTTTGGCAGTTAGAATAATGTCTTGAATTCATGTGTTCCTAATGAGCCTTAGCAAGTAAGATGCTTATTAACTGCCCAAAGCAGCTTGTGAAATAATCCAGAAATAGCGCAGTGACTGGTTACTCTATCACTTAGCTGCAGATCTGATTAGAATAGAGCAGAGTGCCTAAATTTTGCCACATGAGCAGTGTATTAAGTCTCCCAGGAATGCTAACATGAAATGTGTTTGGGTTTTCTTTTTTGTTGTTTTTTTAATGGAGTCTTTTTTGTTTGTTTAAAAAGTAAAATTTGATACGTGTGGGGTAGTTTGATTTTTTTTTTTTTTTAATTTAAAAAAAAATTGTGTTCACTGCAGGATACTTCCATTCACAAGAGACATCTTGTTGATTAGGGAATATCTTACTCTGCTGTTAGTGATAAGGTATCTAACTGTTCATCCTCTCTAGCCTTGTCTTTGTGAGAAATTGCACTGATTTACAGAAACGTCAGACGTTCTGACTTGAAAATGCATTGAAACTTGTTCTGGGAGACTGGCAGTGGTACAGATATTTTAACATTTTGCATATGGATTTTCAGTATTTTCACACTCAATTGTGCGTATGTTATTAAGCTCTTACTAAAAATCAAGACAAAACCTAAAAATTGATGCTCAACATGTGCAGAAATAATGAAAGCAGCTGCCTTTTCTTGCTGTGATATAAAATGAAGATGAAAATACTGTATATGAAGCAAGATTTTTCTGCGAAGCTTTAAATGTGTGAGATCTCTGGAAGTACAGTTGCAAACCTAAAGAAGAGCTGAAAGGCAGTAAGAGTTGAAAAGTGGTGGAAAGAACAGACTGTACTAGTACGACCCATCTTGTACCCTAGGTTAAAGCTGTATCTGTAATTCACTTCAGTAAGTGGTGTTTGCATAATCAATATTAAAAAGACGGACTTTTTTAGAGGTTCCTGTAAGTACAGTGTACTTCCTCTTGGGGGGAAAGAAGGAAGTTCCTTTCAAGTTGATAGATATTTGTGAATGGTGAATTAATGCTGACTTAGGTTCAAGACGTGTGTTGTTGCAGGTAGTGCTCTGTAAATACATACAAGTGAGCTTGGGGTGGCAGCACGTTGGGGAGAAAATGGTCCATATCTTTACCAAAGTGTCAAAAAATGAAGTTTTAAAACTTGTAGTGGGACAACTTCTGGAAGATTGATTAAGTCTGATGTGCTTACCTTTGCCTGGGTGTTAAGCTGTTTTGAGACTGAAAGTTAGGATTTGCCAGAAGCAAGCAGTGTTTGTTTCTGCAGTATTTGTTCGTAAGTGCAGCTGCTTCAGTGGTAGGTAGCATTTTTATCCCTTTTGGTATGTCTTCAGAAGGGAGAATTGCTGTTAAATTCAGTGGTGTAATTGAAAGAGTCCATTAGCATGCAATAAAATTTCTTGTATGCAGTTCTTAGCTATATATATAGCCAATAATCACTTACGCACACAGTGGGATTTTCTGCCAGTTGCCAGGTCACCCCAAACATATTGTTGCAATAGGAATAATATTTCTATCATATTGGTGAGGCAAAGTGCCTTGTGTAGTCTTGGTGGAGAAAATTAAAACCCCTGTAGATAAGGGTGAATTTTTTCAGAAGTCAGTTTTGCATCAGAGATTATGCCTGCAGGGAGCCGTTAAACTGGCTAGATGGACATAACATGGAATTTGAGTTCTGCAGAGGGGAATGTTATGGTCGAGATACATTTTACTCTGAGTTGTATATATTTGCTCATTGTTTTTAGCAAAAATGTGTATTACTGGTTTAGGTCACTAATTTTCTGCTTGTTTAATGTTCAGCTCTTTCCCACTGTGACAGCCCTCTTATTTTAGTACTGTTGTCTAGACTAATCTAGAAATCTTGCTTCTTCAAGCTCTAAATCACAGCCTCCTGTCTTAGCTTTAATATTTGTGCCTTGGCACACAAGGTAAAATACCTGTAAGATACCAATATGATGCATACCTACTGAGATGCGGAAATCATCTTCTGTGTTCCTAAAAACTGCTCTCCTTGATGCCCATGTTAGCACTGCATTTCACTGGGTGCCCATGGATTGGCTTGGACACTGGGGGATAATGTTACAGAACATTTACATATCAAAAAGGGGAAGAAATTAGCACAAGTTGCTCTTGAATAGCAGTGCTCTAGGTAGCTGTCCAGACTCCTCTTAACATTTTTTTCACACAATGGGGCACTTAATGAATTTGCAGATGGCCTGATTGGATTTTTTTTTTTTTAACATAAACTATCCCTTTCATAAGGATATGTTGTGTGGTCATGTGTGATAGGGCTGAATATGATGATAGTTTGCTACTGGCGTGAGAAAGATAGGGGGAAGTATTAGGGGAAAACAGAAAGGGAGATGAGACTGGGTCATGAAGTGGGTGGGAAAGGGCAGCAAGGGTTGTATAACAAGCATGTCTCATTTCTATGGGATATTTAAGGTGCTGTTAGTGTTGAACAGATGTCTAATTATGAAAGTTGTTTATCTTAAAATATTACTGAAAATAGAGGAAATTTTGTCTGAACTTGGGACAGATTCTGAAATGTGGTTCTGCTCTCATTAGAGTATGAGTCAGGTATCCTCCTTGTTTACTCTGGCAAGCTGTCATAAAACTACAGTGTGTTATGTTGAGTAATTCCATGAGCTTGTATTTGGAGATCATGTGGGCCACTGGTGGGACTGCATTATTGCTGCTTAATTGGAATACCTGCTTGCTTAATTTTTCTACCTACCTGTTCTCATTCTCATAGAAGGGTAATACTAAGTGCCAGCTTGGAAACAGAAGTTTTGGTTTTGAAGTTTAGTCCACTATGGTGTTTCTACTCAAACAAAATATTTGTGCTGCATTAGTTGAAATTACTTTTAAAAGAGAACTGAAAGGTATCTTGGGACAGTATTCAATGCCTCCCTGGCTCTCAGATAGGTTCAGCTATACCAGAGTCATTACAGATGGCTTTTTTTAATAACAGGGTAGACAGACTTCTGGTGACAAAGATGCTACAGCCTCTTGTGGCAGTCAGTTTTGGTGGTTAACTGTCCAAAGGTGTCTAATATTTTTTCAGTATTAAATCTGAGTTGCCCTTGCTGTAGTTCAAGATCTTAATTGTAATTTTTACAATGAAATGTTTTTCATGTAGAATTTTTATCTTTGTGATTTCAGTGACCTTTTCAGTGAGTTCACCAGATGATTTTTACGGTTGTGTTCTATAATTTGTATAGTTAAAACATGATTATGACAGTACAGTTAAATTATTCTGTGTCTTTCCTAGTATTTTAGATTTAGTATAAAACTTCAAAATTGGTAAAATTATTTTTCTAACTTGGCAAACAGGTTGAATCATTTATTTTGGACCAAGAAGATCTTGATAACCCAGTACTTAAAACCACGTCGGAGTTATTCTTATCGAGTGCTGCAGAAGGTGCGGACTTGAGAACTGTGGATCCAGAAACACAAGCAAGACTGGAAGCCTTACTGGAGGCAGCAGGTACTTTCCTCGTATAGTTTTTTTTTCTGAACCTACCTTGCACACAGATCTGTCAACCTGTAAATTTTGACCCTAGCAAAATAATCACAAGTCCAGGAATTTACCAGGACAACGGGAAGCAGAACATGGAAAACAAGCCTGTAATTCTTACAGGTGTTGAGGGTTGCCTGGTCCCCTTGTTCTGTGCAAACAAAGAGAACTTAATTTGAATTAAGTGGTATTTCATTGACCAGATGAGACTACATGTGTTACCAGAGGGAGGATTAAAGGGGAGAGAATGGAAGGAAGTAGACTTGCTAAAATGACAATTTTTTTCTGCTGCTTTGGTCAATATATAGTTATTAATACATTATTTCAGAAATTTACAGTTGAAATTCTTGTTCCTCTGTTTTGACTTTCACAAAAATATTTCTTCCCTTCTGTAGATACGATGGCAAATGCATATTTAGGTTCATGTTCTGAAACCAGATTACATGAACATAGTGCTGTTACATTTGTTACTTTTATAGTGAAAGCTTGACTAATTTAATTTAAGATTTGTGACTTGAGTGTTTGCAATGGATTTGAAAATTGTCAGTTTCAAAATTCCAAGGTCAAAAAGATGTTAAAACCCTGTTTTTAAACAAATCCTGTTTGACCATTATGGGTACATAGACTACTAGTAGTGTGCTGAAATAGCACTCTTCAAACTTTAGCTTTCAACACCCTTAAGAGCTAGATAAAATGGCATTTATTTTGCAGGTGTTCAGATGTAAAGCTATATATAGTCTTAAAGGAGAAAATCATTCTGAAGAAGCAAAGGGGGCAAGGGACTCAGGCTTTGGGCTCTCATTGCATTTGAATTTGAAAAAAATACAATTTACAACATAGCATAGCTTTTGTCAGCAGCAAGTTGCAGCAGCCTAATTAAAGGTGGTCCCCCTAAGTTGATTCTAACCTAATGTAACCCTTGAGGACCAAATTTTGCAGGGAAGGCTGTTTCTGGGATACTCTGGACACTAAGAGAATTTGAATAATCTGATCCCTTTTTAAACCTATTTTTAGTTGAAAAAGTGCTTCACTTTGTATCTTATCCCTGATGACTGGTGTGTCCTATAACCTATTGCTAGCTCTGTAAATTGCCAGTGTAGATGTCTAGTGTTACTAGGGCAGTCAGTCACTGAGGTATGTGTTTACACCTAGGGTGTCAGTGTTCAAAATGATTTCAAGGTATTTTAACAAATCTAGGAAGTATCACTGCTTTTTCTATTGTCTGTGAGAATGCTTTCTTTAGATTTCTAAGCAGTAGGTGTCCACTTGTCTCCAGGATTAGATAATTTGTTTTTAATCTGAGGTTTCCATGCTTTGATTCCCAGAGTGCTTTGAGTAGGGATCTAGAAAATGAGCAGAAGAGAAGGAATCTGAAAAGAAGAGCAAATAAAAAAAGAGTGCTTATGTTTAGGGGCTTCATCTCTGTCTCTAAAAAAAACTGGACAAAATTAATGTCCCTTGATGAATGTGTGAGATCAAAAGACTGAAGACACTTGAGAAGGTTCTGTAGTTAAGCAGTACTTGTCTTCCCCACTGCGAATTTGAACACTAAAAATGTTGTTAGTGTAACCTAAAGGAGACCCTGAGAATCTGGTAGTTTATTAATAAAAGTCATCATTTGAAAGTGATTGAAAAAGCAGCTAGTGATTCTGGGAGTTGTTATAATATCTTCACTGGATTTCTCTGGCTGGTTTGGCTGAAAAATACCCTCTCTAAGCTTCTAGGTTTCTCCATCATGACAACAAAGTGGCCTAGCATTGGGACTTTGTCTTGTTTTGCAGTTTGGCAAAAGCAAGTGATTTCTCCTGTTATTTTTGTCACATTTTAGTCTCCAGCATTAAGGATTGCTTGCAAAAATAGATGGAAAAACTGTTATTTGAACAAGTAGTTTAGCTATGGCTTTGTCTGTGGTTTCCAGGCTAGCTTGCCCTTCATTGTGATCATCCCTTCTCCTGTGGGAGACTTGATCCTACCTTACAACCTACAGGAAAATCGGTCTTGCACTTAGTGTCTCAAATTTCTTAAGGTTTCTCAGATGCAGGGTTTGTGGCTGTGTTGTTCGGATCTTAATGAGTATGACTTGCAAAACTAGTTTTGCTCTTTCTTCGTGAATCCTTTAATACTCAGATCTCACATGGGCATGCTGATTATTAATTCTGGAAGTTCTAGCAACTACAGCCAGGTGGGATGTTCTTCAAATTACTTAGGCAGAAGTGGTTTTCAATCATTGCGCTCTCAGATTCATGGGAGTTTTGTTTTTAAGTAGCTGTCTTGATTCAGAGCTGGTTAAGCCTGCATATGCAAGTGTAGAGGCTGCACTTCGCAGCAGATTAGCTGCACTGCTTAAAAATGTTTCTATACATCATATTTATCCATCATAAGAGTGCTGGATATTTTTTCACAGTTCAGCTTGTTTATTCAGTTTCCAAGAGGACTTAAAATATTTTGTGGTTTTGGATGCTGAGGGTGACAGCCTTAAGTAGAATTTATAGCAAGAGGGTTGTGCCTCACCACCCTTAAGAGAGCAGCAAGTGTACTCGTATATGCATATACATGTGCACACAAACAGTGGTTAGATTTTTTTTTTATGTCTACTAGGCCCTCTGGAAACTGGGCTGATTAGCTTTAGTTTGGACAACCATTCTTCCTTCTGTAATCTGTTTAAGCAAAGCACAGGTGCTTTGTTAATGAACAACTATCTTTAAACAACTGTCAGTGATTGTGTTATTTCACAAAAAACCCTAGTTTTACCTTCTGAAGACTCACAGACTTTGCTGTCCTGTGAATGTCGTAAATATGAGTTGTTTTAATCTTCAGAAATTGAAGATAAAAGAATTGAATCAGTTCTTTGGGAAGTTATCCTAAACAAACCAGGTCTTTTATATACCTTCAGTATGACTTCTAGTAGCATAGAAGGGATTTATAGGTAAAATAACCTATGGAAAGAGAACCATACTGTTAGGAGATGTTTGTGTTTTTGAGATTGTAATTGAACAGATTCTTATTATCCTGACAGTGGTTTCATCTGCACTAGAAACCTTCAGCTCCACTGTTAATTGATTTCTTAAAATAATATTCCAACTCTGAAGAATTATGGTTCTTTTGTGGATATTCAGTAAGGTGTTGCCTATTAAATTTCTTTTTTAGGGACAGTAGTTGACTGCTGGAGGATGACAGCTCTTTGCTGCTGTGAATGAATGGTTCTAGTGTGCAGAGTTCTCATTTGTCTTGTGGGTTCCTCCATGGGTCCCTCAACCCATCTTCTTAAAAGGGCAAACTTGCCTCCAAAGTGTTAGGGAAAGTTTGACAGGTTAAAGCTGTTTCATTTACTGGTCCCCCCCCTTTTATAGGCATCACGAAGGGAAAATGACTTGTAGTACAGTCCTCTTTCTGGAGTACAGGTTGTTTCTTAGAGAACGGTGTTGTTTGAAGTATGTGGTCAAATAAAAATCCCAGATGCCCATTTGGTGTATTCTGCACCCAAAACATGAAATTCCACAGAAAGTTATATAATGTCTAAATGTTAATCCGTGCAGTTACAATACCCTGTTCATACATAGTGTTTCAGCATGGTTTTGCTGAGTTTTCTGGGAAGTGATGTAGAACGTTACTGAGCTGATTTTTAGTTTGAGGAAATCACTTGGGTGCCTGTATCCTTACCAGCATCCTTTTGAGCATGTTCCTTCTCAATCTTGAATATTGAAGCACTTTGACAGTGAAGTATCAAAAATTATGTGCAGAAGAAAGTGGTAAAGATTGGAGCACTTGGTATTCCTGTTGAGTGTCCACTATAGTGAGGAGTTTTGTTATCAGTGAGTTCTTCAGAAGTCCTACTATTGTTTATAAAGAGACTTGTGAGGAAAATCAGGGTATTTTGGAGAGGAACCGTGTTCAGCCAAGAGTTTGCTTAATGATACAGATGTCAGTAGTGCATCCTTACATTACTTCTGTTGAAATACAGGATTAAAGGTTACTGTAGACCCTCACATAGATGGTTTGGTGTGTTTGAAAGTGGGGGATTAAATGCAGTGTAAATGGTGGAAGATAAATCTAGTTTTAATAACAAGTGTCTGTTTATGTGGTGAATTTCAGTAGCTGATTCAGGCGTGAGGGCCTGATACTGCTCTTTGGAAAGCTGTGTGTGTGCGCGGGGAATGGGTTGTGTGTTCTGAAACTGGGGAAGGCAAAACGTGGAAGTAATCACCTACTTAGTGGAAATACAGAACACAGGTCAAAATATGAATGGCCCCAGATAAAATCTGCCTGCTTTAGGATAAACTGAAAGGATACAGTGAGATTCAGCAATTGTAAAAGTGAATGCTTTCCAGTGTATGTATGTATCTCTCTAGATTCACTCTCTTGCAGAGTTGTCTACCAAACCTGTTTGTTTTTTTTGTGTGTGTGTGTGTGACCAAACCCATTCATTAACAACAGCGAGGTTGTTTTTTTTTTTCTTTATTAAAATAGAACATTAGAAGGCTTGAATGTGACAAAATAGACTTTGTGATCAAGTGCTACTGGTGAGTGAGCTGTGGTCTAAAAGATCAGTTCCAAAGGTGCATGGCTTGCTCTCATCCTGTGTGGGAGACACCCCTTGGAAAGTGTCAGATACTGGGCTAGATAAATTCTTTGATTGTGTTGTTTATGATCAATAAGGTTTATGTGTGAACCTGGTGTTTCTTTTCTTAGGATTGATGAGTAATGTGATTTAAATGGAGGTGGGCATTAGAAGCTTAGCATCTGAAGGGTTATCCAAGTTCCACTTAAAACCATAGAAGTTGAGGGCTGCAGAAGAGGGGTGATTCATGTTTGTCAATTTAGTGGCTGCAGCTCTCTTCTTGTGGAATGCCGATGTTAATGTGGAATGTTAATAAATATGTTTGTAGATCTGTATTGGTGTTCTTGAATTAAAAAAAATGCCTTTATTGGGAGGAATCTGGGAGGATTGCTGGTGTTTGAGCAAAGGTGGA